GGGGCTCGTATGACGTGTCAGACACCGGACTTTAACCGCACTGATCCACCCCTGGATGTCATTGTCTCGAAGGACACTAAACTGAGTTTCATTATGGATGGAGTGGTGAACAGTGGTCTCAATGAGCGTCAATTAAGGCTTATCTACTTCCCTGACCCCACTTTCCACGCTTTCAAAGAGGGCGCCAGAGTTGTGTATATCGAGGAACCGGTGCTTAAGATCGACGGCAAAGACTTGCGCATCGATTACCCGATCGACATCCGGGTCAGTGAACACCACATTTACTGCAATCTCACCGAAAGTAAGACATTTGACGCCATTTACTGTAAAATTGAACAAAACGAAAAGATATGGCAAGTGGACGGCAATGAGCACCGGGTGCTTATCAGAGTCGGCAAAATTAATTTTAGGTATGGGTTAAAAATGTATATTATTAAATATTATAAATTAATTTTTATTTTAAATATAAAGTCCAGGAAACATGACGTTCGCCAACAAACCGGCTATTTTAAGCCTGGGCTCAATACTGCTCATCATATCCCTCCCCATACTATTGATTATAGCAATAGTGGCTCTCATTTACTATTACGGACAGAAGAAAGGCATATCACTATTCGGGATCAAACCACCCATTGATCAGTTTGGTGTCAATTATACCAACCGATCCATTAGTCAGGACCCCAGCGAGAGGCCTCCCTATGTCTCCCAGTCCTCATCCAATGGTATGTTTGTCTACTTTCATATGTATTTGACGGGTAAACAAAATTCAATAAACTTTGTATTTTGATCGCAAAACTCTTTAGGGAAAAGTATTGAAACAATATTTATCACAAGTTTTAAGTTTCACATTCTTTTAGATGTTAATTTCAACTCTCTCTCTCTCTCTCTCTCTCTCTCTCTCTCTCTTGTTTATGAAAAAACTACTTGAGTTTAAATTACTATTAATTTCATTAACAAGTCTGGAAAACAGTCTTTCAAAACAAATGCGAATCAAAAGCACAAAAATATTTATTGAATTTTGACTACAAATACACGCATAATATATTAAATATGCAAAACTGGTGGCGGTTTTTGGGTTTCGGGTGGCTTTGGGTCTATGGTTTGGGTTTTAAAACTAAACTCTTTTAAACAATTTCTTTGCATTGAATGATAATTGAATGGCTTTTGCATCCATTAATTGCATCGGAAATACTGTATTATCACTGAAACAGATTATGGAAGAGGATCAGAATCTTCTCGTTTATTACCAGACGGTCGTATGATTAGCACCGGTAGCCGACGCTATGAGGTGTCCGACGAGACCATGAGTTTGTTGAGATCCGAGCACATCCTCATTGAGAGGCACAACATTGTCTTTGAGGAGGTCATAGGTCACGGACAGTTCGGTCAGGTGTTCAGAGCTATGCTACACTCACCCGAAAAGGAGGCGGAACGGGAGGTGGCCGTCAAGAGTAAGTTTGCCTCTGAAGCTGTAATAGACATATAATGGACTGACTGTCCGTTTTATATAATAGCTATTGTGAGGGACGAGATGGACGTGGAGTCGTTCCTTCAAGAAGGTCTCCTAATGAAGGACTTCCATCACCACCACGTGCTCACACTGATAGGGGTGTGCTTCGAGGACCAGGGACAGCCTATGGTGGTCTTACCATTCATGCAAAACGGAGACCTATTGTCTTATATCCGTAACGAGAATAATAACCCTACGGTTAAGGCTCTACTCATGTTTGCCATCGAAATAGCTATGGGTTTGTGTCCACACATACTGTCTATTACTCGAGATTTGATTAAATTGTTTTAATTGTGAACACAGGGATGGACTACCTGTGCAGTCAGAAGTTCGTGCACCGGGATTTGGCCGCCAGGAACTGTATGTTAGACTCGGATCTATGCGTAAAAGTGGCTGATTTCGGTTTGGCGCGAGACATCTATGAGAGGGACTACTACTCGTCGGACAACAAGAAATGCAAACTCCCGGTCAAGTGGATGTCCCCGGAGTCGCTCGAAAAGGGCACATATAATACCAAAACAGACGTTTGGAGTTACGGTGTGGTCGTGTGGGAGCTGTTGACCCGGGGTGTGACCCCTTACCCCGATGTGGACAACTGGGAGATCTTGAATTACTTGAAACAGGGCCGCCGTATGCCCCGCCCCTCCTTCTGTCCCGAGTTGTTGTACTACATTCTGTTGAGGTGTTGGAGCGATGATCACCGCCAGAGGCCTACTTTTGGGGAACTGGTGTCGGAGGTTCAGGAGGTGATCACTACACTAGAAATGGAGGCCCAGAAGCAGAGGGTAGACCTGGATAAGTGTAATACTTATATCAATTTCCCGGTTCCTAATGTGTATTATAATGAGTCGCAAATACAAAGTCAGCC